CTAATTGAATTAAAGCCTTTTTGTGATTATTACTCAACAAATATAAATGAAATGTCTTTTATATCTTCAAATATTCGATTATTTGAGTCAAACTATTCATGCAGCTGGGACTTTATTACCAAACTATTTTGCTATAATTTGCGTAGAACAGATTATTTGATGATGATTTAATTTATATTCAAATCATGATATAAGGTATTATTTTGGAAAATAAAAAAGAAAAGGGGATAATTGGAAAGTTACAAAAAAATAAAACCTATTTATCATTAAAGTCATGCCCCACTGACCGGCGTTTCAGTCAATAAAATCAATCACGCAACTAGAGCGTGCGTATTAAACGTGACCAAGTACTAAAGTACAACGTATAAAAGTAATGCGCATAGTTTACCCGCTAGAATGACCCAGGCCCATCCTCTGTCCACTGGAGCTCCGCCTTTCACCTCTTCTGTTTCATTATTTATTTCCTGATTTATTTCACAATTGTCAAGCAACTTCCTCTTTTCCTTTTCCGCTTCCTTCTTTATACGATGTTTTTCTACATCTAATCCTATATTTAACTCTAATTCCTTATCTGTCATTTCTTATTAGTTTCAGGGTTTGTGAAAGATACATAAATTAGTTATTCCTAGTTGTGTTTGTTGTTTTTCTATCTGTTCTGTTCTTTTTTCAGTTTAACTAACTCTGTATTAACATGTCAGGTATCTTCAACATTTAATCCAATATTGATGTAAGTAAACCACCGTATTGCTTAGTGTAAGAGAGTTTACTATACGCGTGTAATTCATTGTATATAATAAGGCTTATACTTTTCTCATTTATGAAAATGACACACTTAACAGCTGTTTTGTAATTGAACAGTCATGTAAATTGTCTTTGTGTGTTGTAAAATGATACCCGTATAGATGCATTGTATGCATTTTACAGTCTCTTGTTATTCTGAATAGAATGCCTATATACATGCCTTTGTGATATTTTTCATGTGTATAATATTTTTCATCATATGTTTGGATGACAATTTGATAAATAAATACAGTTAAGTTATTCATTATATCGAAAGACTAGTTGTGTTCAAAAAATGAGGCATATAAAATATGAACATAATAACTGCTAAATATATATAATTTCGTATCGAATTTTTAATCCAGGGGTCGGCGGTTTGATCCTCGAGCGAGACGAAATTTCTCCGTAATAAATAACATCGGAAATTGAGTCTAATGGGTATGTGTTGTTAGCTGCCGATTATGAAATCAGTCGAAAATTGGTAATAACTGATTAGCTATCCAGGAAATTCAGTTTGGTCGACTGACCATCAAAATATGATTAAATATGTGTTAAAATCGGTGTAAAAATCTACCAAACGAACTTACATCCCAATGAGCTTTACAGTTCAAACGAATAAAAATATAAATCATGCTTTTGTAAAGTAGCACTGTCCTACTTTCAGGACATCAGGTCATACACTCAGATTTGTTTAATTCAATATACATGTACAGTGATTTGTTTAATTGATATCGATTATCTGCACCAGTTTCAAGGTCACTGGCCTCAGAAAGATAGTTAATCGATATTTGCTGAGCTGTTGAGTATAGAAATAGAAATTTCTTTTTTCATACCAGCTTGTCATATGACGTAAACAGTCAAGGTAATTCGGCATTAACCGCATTAGTTTGACCTTTTTAGTAAATACCCTTAGTCGTTTTAATCTACTTTCTTAAACTTGTTTTACTGTATTTGTTATTTGGTCAAAATAAAGTACATTAAAGTGACAACTGCTATTCTTGTATAAAAACTGCGCACGGAGAAGAAAAATGCACTAACGGATAAAATTATGCAATCTCGCGCCGTCGTTGCGCGTATTTTTATCCATTTTTTTCATATGCGTGACTCAGAACATAAGTTTGCAATTTCGGGCCGGGTGATCGCACCAGCACGTGCAAAAACACGCCAAAATTCAAACGAAAAAAAATAGCAAAAAGCGGAATTACAGAATCAGCCGTTTAGTTATAGATAGCACACTATTTTGACGTGCATTCACATCTGTAGAAGTACTCGGACTAATCAGATCACTTGCACTGCGTGCTCGGGTTTTAAATGTATCTTGTTGCTTTGCAGATTTGCATGCACGAAAAAAAGGTTCATAGTTCCTTTATTATGAATTGATTTTCTTGCTGAGAGTAGTTACCGGTCATTCGTTTGAATACAATAATAATAAAGGCAAATTTAGTGAGTTCTTTTAAATAAAGTGTATACTTACATAATGCATTATAACATTATTTATTTTTCCCAATTTTAATTCATAGTTTCATGTTTGTTCCTTTCTTAAATTAGTTTCGTAATTTGATTGCACTTGCAGTGAAGAAAAGACAATATCAGGGTGGGTTATCACAGGTAACATTACGTCATCGCTAATGGCTCGACCATGACTGAAAATGCATTTGTTATGTCTTCGCTATATCTTTCAATATTGAAAAACAAACATATACCATGTCCAAGTCAATTATTTGCCGATTCAAGCGGTATATAACTTTTTCAACAATCGCAAAGCATCGGCTTTTCCAGTATACTCCGGATAAGAGGCCACGAAATACATACCAAGGCAAGTCGGTCGGGGTTGTAAAGGCAGTGTTCGTTCTTGAGAAAGTAACAATTGCCATACCCCTTAGTATTGGGAGTATGTCCTGTGCTAACTTATTCTTTATTTTTAATTGACCCGAGTCACATTAATTGAAAACAAGAATTAATTACTTAATATTGAAATTTTAAAATTGACGTTTCATTAAGAAAAAAACATAATGCGGAATCATGTGACTGAAGTAGTTCTAATGTATCACCATAAATTACGAGGTCTATTGCGAAGTAAAATCGTCAAGATCAGATTGCTTTGCCAGCTTATGGATTTTAGAAATATGTGGTCAGTACAATACTGATTTATATTAGACGAGTACACATCTATCATGCCGATATTGGACGAAGCGTTAGCCGGGCCTGATATCGGTTTTGCAAACTAAAAATAAGTACTGTAAATGTAAAATTACACCTTTATTACACACTACCAATTTTTGATAGAACTTTAATACCCCGAGTACAATAGGGATACGAAATCCTTTTTGGACTCTGAAAATGAAAACGAGGCCAGAAGAAGTACAACAGTGATTTGTTTAGGATTTTGGGCTATGAAAAAATATTGATTTGACATGAATTATTTGAACAGGCAAAATAAGAAATGATGCTTTGTAACACCGCACTTTGGGGTCAAACGCACTTTGGGGTCCGACCCCAAAGTGCGTTAAACTTCGCACCGCACTTTGGGGTCAAACGCACTTTGGGGTCAAAATCGAGAAATTGACCCCAAAGTGCGTTAATATGCTACATATCAACGCACTTTGGGTTCCAGAGATCTAAAGGTGTCATCTGAGATCTGCTTAAATACTGAGTACTGACTTATTTTCGATCTGCGACATTGAAATATTTGAGGTGGAGTTCAAGATGGCGGTCAATACATTGATGATGCTTAAGTGATAAAACTTTCATTAATTTTACTACTTGAAATATGTAAAAATTGTGTTCATATAACAAAATTACGGTGGCATAAAATTGACATTTGCATTTTTTTAGTTTTGCATACATATTATTTTTTAGTTTTGCATACATATTTTTTTTTAGTTTTGCATTCATATTTTATTTTAGTTTTTCGTACATATTTTTTATTGTTTTTCGTACATATTTTAGCCAATCAAAAGAGCCTTCACACCTCATAACAGCCCATAGTTGAGTATAAAACTAGCACAGTGGTTTGGTCACATTTCGACCCATTTTTGGAATCGGCCCAGTCGTTTTCGGCCGGGCAAGTCTGGTTTCGGCCGACCCTTTTCGGCCCATTTTTTAAATTATATGTATTTTATATAATTATTGTTTTTTTTATTATTATATACTATTATATTAGTGTCTATTGGAAAGGGCTGAAAATTGGTGATAAGTTTTTATTATGAATTTGCACCACTCAACCCCACGCCCTGAGAATAGCGGGGGCATTGACTTTAAACCAAGCCGACCGGTAAAATCTTCGCCCTGCGGGGGATACTCAGATAACAACATTCCTGCCTCATGCTCCGGACGGGGCCAACATCAAAGCACGATTCTTTTTTAACCCGCACTCCCCGGGGGCAAGAGAGGTGGTTACAAATGACTGGTGTATTACAATAATGCTCAACAAAAAATCTAAAAAGGTCATTATATTCCACTGATTTAGAAAAAATGCTTAAAGCTAAGCTTTGAAGGATTTTTATGAAAATTGGGTCAATTCTTTTGCACATCCAGATTATGTGCAGAACTTATATGCCAGGTGTGCCCGCTCAAGGTCGGGGGACACACCTACATGTCAAAGGATTAAGATTTGGGTTTCATGTCCGCTCATTATCTCCAAAACCCCATAAAGGATTTTCAGGCACTTTGTGTAAAATGCTAACCACATCGAGACAATATGCAGAACCTTTCTTTGGGTTACCGCGGACTATATATATACTAAAAGTGTTGTTTTTTTTTATACCTCCAAAATGAAAATGTTGGTATTTGCAAATAGCATTTGCAAATGGGGTACTGTAATTTACAGATGGTGAAGTGTTTAAAATGGCGTTTTACAAATGGCGTAATTAGCCTAACCTCTACTTTGCAAATTGCGTCATGTAAAAAAATCTACTAAAAAACAAAATAGAATATGTACAAAAAACTAAAATAAAATATGTATGCAAAATTAAAAAAGAATATGTATGCAAAACTAAAAAAAAGTATGTACTCAAAACTTAAAAAAATATGTACGACAAACAAAAAAATATATATGTACGAAAAACAAAAAAGTATAAAAAAATGCAAATGTCACTTTAAATAATGCCACCGTTCAAAATACTCTAGTACAGAAATTGTGTATTCCTAAAATTGAAAGATGCTGCGAAAAATGTCCCGCCCGTTCTGCCAGTCATTTACTTGATAACTTTTGGTGCCATATTGAGCCCCATTTTAAATATTTTGGGAATGAAATAAAATGCAGTTATTTTTTTCCAAAGAACTATAAAGATACTCTATTGCCATGTTCTGGTGAAACATCAAGTAGATCTGACTATAAATAGTGATTTTTACAAATACATTTTTAAGCTTATCAACAAACTAAAAGGTTTTTGTAAGCTCCGTTACAACCGTTCGCAAGGGGATACGGACAAAAGCGCCCCTCGGACGAAAGCCCCCCCCCCCCCCCGTATTTCGTCCGGGGGGATGGCTTTTGTCCTACACTAGTTCGCCAGAGGCTTTTTTTAATGGGAAATCTTACATACTTCGTATGAAAGAGCAAACACGAATTTTATAATGTTAAAATAATGGTATCAGAGAAATGTAAGATGCTTGTTACCTGAATAAAGTAGCAATAAATGTGAGATTATTTGTCATAAAAGTAGTCAAAACATTGTAGTATTTGACTTCCATATAAAATACTAATTCACTAAAACTGTACTCATCATTGCCAAAAAAGCAACAGTTAAAAAAGATGGTTCAGGTAATTGGCCAATGTGTATTTTTTGGACAATATAGAAGAACATCAAAATAAAATAAAAAATTCTTAAGAAAAACAAATAAAAGCATAATGGGCCTTTAAACGTTATTTTTAACCCTCGGGGGGGGGGGTCGATACCCCACAATCCCCTCTATACCCCCAGTGAGAATTTTACATTATTCTGAAGCTCCGCTCAGTCAGTCAGTCAGTTGTTAAGGTTTAATGAGGGTCCATCCGCCCGTAAGGGCACAAAATGCAGCTTGCGCTGTCGAGTACGAACCCCGGACATATCACCAGTCATGTCCTTAAAGAGTTAATTTTGAAGCACAAAGTGGTGATAATTTACCTCCATGCAATTTCCACGGAGTATAAGCCAAAGATATGAATTTTGAGCCAAAAGTAGGTCACTGTACGGCGGTCAATGAGAACCTAAATGTACAGTAACCTGTGACAGTAGGAAAGGTGTTCTTAATGTGCGACTTCTTAAATAGTTGATATTTTTAGGACTACTACCTAAAGCCGCATACCTAGTCAAGTTTCTTATATGTTACATTAGCTAAATAAATGGCTCTTTCAACATATTATCAGGCACATTTTTTTACTGAAATGTCTAACTAAAATTGCCCAGAATTTATACCTATGCTAAGACTATCATATTTCTATAAAATGTGTAAATAAAAAACGGGAAAATAATCCATTTAGCTAAAAACAATGGAGTTAATTAAAGGTGTACATTCTTTTATAATAAATGGAAAATTTGAGAAAAAAATATTAATAATATTATTAAAGCTTAATAGTTGATACAAATTCTTTATTTGGTGATTTATTTGGTGAAAGTTCTTCACTTACTTATCAAGACCATTTAAATCCCTATTGATTCTACTATAATTCAGGGAACATGTTTTGCGTCTTTTTAATACCTTGATTTTTGTTTACCATTCGCTTTAACAACAATATATTATTTAAAACACAATGAACAATACTTTTCTATGACCCCAAAGTGCGGTCGTTTGCTTGATGTTAAAAAATACATATGTACCTGTTTAACGCACTTTGGGGTCGAAATTGGACCCCAAAGTGCGTAACGCACTCTGGGGTCGGACCCCAAAGTACGTAACGCACTTTGGGGTTGGACCCCAAAGTGCGTTTGACCCCAAAGTGCGGTGTTACAATGCTTAATTGATAGGAACGGTTCCATTGGAGATCACATGGTGCAGACACTAGAAGTTCATTTGTTACATTTTATGTGTGAAATAAATGATATATTATGTCTCAATCTTTATAGATTGGTTTTTATAAATTTTTATACATGTACATGGACCTGAATGATTGCATGGTATGAATAAATGCACGGCTTACTAATTTAAGTTCAAAAAATAGGTCACGATATATAGATAATATCTGTAACATCCGACAACATTTCATTGTATCAAATAAAAATTTATATGTGAGATGTTATGAATACTATATTTAGAAATAAACGTCTTATTTTTTTAGGAACGTTAGTCATGAAAATTTGGTACATCTGTTTACACTTAAAACCTTAACCATCCGATGTTGTGTAATGGTGTCGCCCTGCATTGATATCGTTAATTAAAGTCAGATCATGATTTTCTCTCCTTTACTCATCCTACATACATGATGTTTACATGTATAAGGTCAGATACAATTAGAATCAGTAGCACGATTTTAAAGAGATTAGAGTAAATAGCATTTACACTGTGTAAACGAGATGTTTTTTGTAAATTTACATTATGCGGGTTTCGTTTAGGATTTTATTATTATTTCACATCGAAATGAAAGCAGTTTATAGGGAAACAGTTGCAGTTTAATGCCCATTTGGTACTTTTTCGGATATTGTTTGCGATTTTATTATTATTTTACATCGAAATGAAAGCAGCTTATATGGAAATTGAACAAGCCAATGTGAGGCGAGTTTTTGAAAATATTATCATGTCCACCCTTGTTGTAACATATTTTGTACAAAGTTGTAATGTAATGACATTCAATCTACTTTGTTCATGTACTACAGTGGTGCTCATTTGAAAGTTCATTTGAAAGTTCATTTGACAGTTCATTAACCCGACACACTGCGCTATAATAATATTTACATTTCATATACATTAAATGCCAATTGTACCTTAGAAATTTTTAAAATGAACATACATTTGTTTAATTATGTTTACATAATGGATTTAAAGCATATTGAATAATTCTCACTGAAATTTTGTAGCGCTAAATGAGAAATAATAATTAATCATAAAATAGCAGAACGATAACTAAGTCATATTTTGACTTCCGTACAAAAAACTAAATCACTATAACTGTACTAATTACCAAACAGCAAATTAAGTAAAAGACGGTGCAGTTTCATGCCCAACTGGTACTTTTTCGGATATTGGTACAGGGCAACTAGAATAAAAATAAAAAGTTTAGAGAAATGGAAGTTATACTATTATTTGGTCTAAATGGGCCTTTAAACAAAGTCAGATTCTTTTACCTGCAAGGATGACCCACGCCCAACCCTTATCTACAGGAGCCCAAGTCTTGTCCTCTGGAGCCCAACTTTCACATCCCTCAACATCTTCAGTTACATCATGTAGTGCATCTTCGTCCTTATCTTTATTTAGCATTGTGGAATCAGCACTAACTGACATTTGTTCAACTTTATCATTAGAACTGAACGTTTTCCCATTTAATCCATTCTTAAGCTTTGATTCCCTTTCCATCTTCTAATTTTATTACCAATTGATTGAAAATATATATAATTAGATCTGACTTATTCTGAGTTTTTACTAATCCATATTATGTTCATTTCCAATATCTATCCAACAGTATAACATAACGTCTGGAGCATGTTCCATTGAAAGTGTTTTCATCCATACATTCTTTATAGTAATGAATAAAACACTGGTAATACATGTAGATAGATATATGGGTCATTAAATTTATATGTATGAATTGAACGCTATGCATTCCTCATTAACTTAGATTTTAATCCGTATCAAATAATGTTTGGTAAGGATAACCTCACCTATAAGATAATGGATTTGAATATCTATAATTATACATTACTGTAAGCGAAATTAAAATTATACTCGTGTCACTGGATTATTTAATAACTATTTTATACAAAATTATTCAATCAAATTAAAGGGAGACAATTAACCTTATCTCAAATATAACCCCACCCTTTGAGATTTAGACCCTAAACACTTGTTTTCGTTTAAGAAATGTCACTTTTTCAGCGCCGCCCCTATCAGAAAGATACATTAGGGGTGCTAAAGGGGGATTTGCCCCCGTCTGCTTAGAGGTTTGAAGGGGGACAGTAGCCCCCTCATTGCCAAGAAGAGTGTGGACTTGTGAGAGGCTAAAATTGACCTCAGGTCGATCAGAAGGTAACGATTAACTAACGCTGAAAATCATTTGACTTTATCTCAATCCATTGAAAAGTTGCAGCACTGCGAAATCAGTTTGGATGGAAAAATAAACGCAATATAGTGATTTTGGGCAATTTTGAGATGTCCCCTCATTGCCATGGTAACAGGAAATTAAAGATTGAGCCTGCCGTTATAATGGCTATGGTCCAGTCAACAGTTTGTGCCAAGTTTAATGAATATTGAAGCATCGTTAATAGTTTCATAGCAATTTGAACTTGTAACTAGAGGCTTTTCAATGGAAACAGCCATTTTTCACAAAATGCTCATACAGTAATGGGTTAAGGAGTCTATGCAAATCTCTTCTGCTGCATTTCTTTGTGATGACAATAACACATAAAGAAAATGTAATCACTAATCAAATGCATAAAGGCCCATTTTGCCTTAGAAATGTTTTTTTTTTTCTAATTCATTTATTTATTTCTCAAAAGATTTTTCTTTTTGATGTACTTTTTCAAAAAACAACTCATTGCCCAATTACCTGAAGACTTTTTACTGTTGTTCTTTTGCAAGTAGTGATTTACTATTTCTGAATTATATCTCGTGGCCACGAGATAAGGATTTTATTCTTAGCTGCTTGACCCAAAGTGCGGTGTTACAAAGCATCATTTAATGAAAGGCCGTGGTTTTTTTGGTAGGACACTTGTCAAAAGTAATTAGCCAATATATGCGTGTTTTCAAAAAATAGATAAATGTAAAATGCAAATAATTTGGTGGCGTTTCAAACATTTGACTTAATCGTATTTTATGCGCTGTCATGAAGTGAATACAGGAAACCGGAATTTGATTTTTATGCGGTTGCAAAATTAATGATGCATTAGTGTTGCATGTAACGTGTTCATGCTGTCAATTTCTAACTTTTTTTCGCCACAAAATCTTCAGATGCTTCATTTTAAGAAATGCAATTTTTGCATACTTGTTTTGAAAAAATCTTTCCAAATTGCTAAATTAGAAACTTCAAAGGAACAATTCACACATGAAATTCAGTAAATAGTCATGAATACAATTCAAATCAATGATGGAGTGCTTACAAGTAATAAGATTCATGACCTTTGTTTTGTTTAAAAACACGATACAGTTTTACCTGTTAGAATGACCCATGCCCACCCTCGGTCTACTGGAGGTCCAGTTTGATCATCGTCAGTGTCATCATCCATTTCTTGAAGTGTGGTATTGTCTGTTTCCTTGCCTATCATCCCGCAATGTTCTTTCACTATTCCTTGTTCCACTTCCTTATTTGCATCATTTATTTCTTCATTCGATTCAGATTTTGTCTTAATCTGACCTTTACCGTCAACGATCTTCATCTTTTATAGGCTTATCAAAGATGCTTGAAATATATGCTAAGAACTTTCAGCTAAGATACGTGCGTACGCCGCAAGGCTTTGTGGTAGAATATGAATCTGATGAAAACTTTTGAATTTTGTGCCATACGTAATGTGCTTACTTTGCTTACTTTGCAAGTTTAGAAGGACCAGCCATGCTGAGCTTTCATGTTAATGACCGCGTATTGAACATTATTTTATGTAATACAGAAATGGGTCATTGGTTCACGGGACCATTTTTCAAACCGACCGTATTGAACTAGTCTTTCTTCATCTGATATTGCCGTGATGTGTTCGTGAACAAAAGAAAAACAACATTCATTAAAATGTTCAGTAAGGTCACCATGACATTGTGTCTCAAATATAGTATTAAATGTAGATGTTTTTTTAAGGAACAGAATTAGAACGTGCCTTTGAAAGCAGTAGGGGGAAATCCGGGTGAAATGATTAGGTTAAAATCTGCATACATCGGTCGAAGATGTTCTAGTGCCCTTTTGTTATGAATAATTTAAGTTCGTTTTAAAAATTATGTCTATTGAATTGCATTGTTTTCCTAGCCTATGCATGCATACTGGATTTTTCTTTCTTTTTTGTCTGTTTGTTGTTGTTTCTTTCTCTTTTTAATTAGTTATTTTCTTTATTTATTTTATATATTTTATTGTTTGTTTGTTTGTTTGTTTGTTTGTTTGTTTATATTTTACAAGCAAAAATGTTTATTTGAATTTCAAAAGAGAATACTTTCACAATGCTTGTATAAATGATTGAAATATAGTAGTAAATTGCCTTTAAAGTGAATGGGGCATTACAAAGCCGTTGTTAAATGGATAAAGACCGACTTAACATAGGATTTTTTGTCCCGGAACATTTTATTATATTTACGTACACTATTCATTCTGTTAAATAGCAGAGTAGCAGAGACATCTTATTTCAAAAGTCTTTTGGAAATCGACCATAACATTATGGACGCAATATAATGTTAAAAAAATGAAACTGTTGTTAATTATGTAAACTAATGTGCATATATAATCCTGATAGACAAGTTTCGTATTTTTTGCGTATTTATTTTGATGACAATGCATACATGACAGCGTTAATTTGGATACTCAGACATCTTCCATATAATAAATCAAAGCACAGAAGGCGCTGAATTTGTTTGGGTCTCAGAATGTAAGAAAGGTGCAGGTTGTGAGATTATATGTTTAGTGCCACCAATGCTTTCCAGCGTTTTAATTGTAGTAAATTGGCTATAAGACTAATTGCAACACTGATATTCAATCCAATGTTTATTTGACTTTAACAATTTAAAAAAATAAGTTACCTTTACTGGGATTTGAACTCCAGACCTCTCGCTTCCTAAGCGAGCCCGAAAACCCTTCAGCCACGGTTAAATTTATATGTGAACGGCCTGAAGAAAACCATATTATTCTAAATTAGGGCTTGTAACGACTTTTAACTGTTGTTTAACACAGATGTAAATAATCCTGAAGCTTACTATAAGCATGTATATATTTATAAAGAATCAAAGGGCTTCAAGTTCTTTGGTATTTTCTGATCTTTGCAATCTAAATCGTACTGTATATCTGTATGCATTTTCCTGTATAAGTTTATTTTTATGTATTATAATTCATTTTGTAAGGCACATACGGAATTCTGCATAACTAGAGTTGCATCAAAAAATCATTTATGTACTTTTTTTACGACAGCCACACTATATCCTTGTAAATCATGGCTACTTCCTTAACAAAAACAATTAAAAAAAGAATTTAACCAAAAAAAAAATTTCCTCGACTGGGATTCGAACTCGAGACCTCTCACTCACTAAGCGAGCGCGTTACCACTGTACCACGGAGAAGTTATACACAGTATGTCTGAATAATATCAAGTAATTCTAAATTTAGAACTTCCATTGCATTCAGGTTTGTAATCCTTATTAAATTCGAGGTATTTTGTTCAGGGTAAACCTGTTGTTTAAAATTGAAGTAAATATTTTAGCGAAAATCCTCTCGCCCAAACAGTCCGACATGTAGAATCTATATATTCCACTACTCGGTTTGTGTAGTATTCGGTAATCTACATGGCTAAAAATAGTATTTTCATTGATAAAATCATTTTCATCCGCGTAATTTGTGATTGTGCATTTATTGACAATTCTATAAGCCAACGCTATTGTTTAACTTTAAATGCGTTGTAATTTGTTGGATACTTGTAACAAAATAAAATATTTCTTTCTTTTAAATCGCTAGTTTTAAGCTGTTTTGAGAACTACTTGTTGTTAGGTTTGTCATAAACTTCTGTGTCAGAGATTGAATGTCCGCTTTGTATTTAGTTATTTTCGATCAGAAAATACCAGAAAACAATATTAGAAATCTTCGACCATTCGGGAGTTACTTTGCTTGAAAATTGATGCGCCTGTCTTTGACCATCTTTACGCAGTGATCTCCCCTGAATTTTTCGGCTTTAGTGTACATACAAAAGGGAAGTAACCGCTTCAAAAAAGTGGACTACTTTCGGCATTTGCAATTAAGAACATTAGACTCTGAAATTTCGCTACCATTATTTGTTTGGTCTGACGACCCAAACAAATAAAAAATGTCACCACGTTGGCCCACTGTGAAATAACTTTGTTGAACTTGGAGGTTTTTTGACTGTGCATTTCTACTACCTCTCCCCCACCCAAAAAAAGGATAGTAAGCCCTAGTTTAAAGAGACTATACTGGGCGTTTGTTTTGTTTTTCTTTTCGAGATTTATGTTTCATTTGATGTAGGTCTAGACCAATAACTTGCGTTGCAACGCGATTCATTCAAATCGGGCTAAGAATATTACAAAAATGCTGTTTTCAATATATTTCTGTGTATATTTCATAATTATCTTTTGCGTATCTTTTTATTAAGTACCATTTGAAGGTGATGTGAGAGAGAAATTCAAATGTTATTGTTTTTAGGTTTTTAGACTTCACTGGAGTTCCTTCAACTCATGAGCAATGCTGAAACTATTATAGTTGTTATATATGGTTGCTTTATAATTGTTGTTGTTGTTGTTGTTGTTGTTGCTGCTGCTGCTGCTGCTGCTGCTGCTGTTATTGTTGCTGTTATTGTTGCGGCCACTTGGGGATGTCAGTGGTTGCCTTGGGAAGTCAATGATAGTCACGGACAGTCATTGGGTGCTCAGGAAGTCTATGGTGGCCACGGACAGTCACTGCTTGCTATGCGAGACACTGGTGTGA